ATTAGCGATAGTTTGGTAGTTTTGTATTGCGATCAATTAGAGAACGTTTAGTCAGCAGCTTGTTTGCACTTTTCTAAAATTAGAAACCTCTCTAACACAGGGCCCCTTGGGAAATAGACCCACGTGAAGACCCCTATGCGACTTTGTACAAGCCTAGTTTTAAACGGGTAATTTATGGTGTTCTATCGAAGACTCTTTGTGTTCAGCGGTTGTTTTAACAGACATTATTTTTGCCAAAACAGAAAATAGAAAAGATTCCATACGGGTTTCCTTGCCTCAAGGGAATTTTAAAACACGAGCGCGACTACTATGACAGACTATTGATTGGGTTTGTTGGCATAATCATTAGCTGCCAGGGGACATACATACAAGGCCAAGCTGTATTTGTATAGTTGCCCCAGAGAAATAACCACCAAAGTTGTGCAATTGTCTATCTTGAATTGCTTGAGAGTGAAATTATGCAAATGTCGTTAGAAGGTGAAGGCAATTGTTAGAAAATAACTTCTAAAAAAAATCTTAACGTATTACAAATCAACCTCACGCGTATGTTTTCGCGGACAACATTGCTTGTTTTCTTCCAGTTCTTCGCAGGTGTACATTAAGAAGTAAGTCTCTTTTTTTAATTTTCTTGAAACATATGAATTGTATTTAAGATCAGAGGGTATAATTTTCCCGGCCCAAAGGCTCAATCAACAAGAGGACGAATTTTTTCCCCGAAATCATTGGAGAAGAAAATCTGCTTGTAAAGCAAACATCTTCAATACACCAAAATCGATTTGCGCGAATTTTTCTTCACAATCCATAATTGTTTCTTACAGGTGAACAATTACGCTATAACATACTGTCACTGTTGTACAAAAAGACTTTTAGAGGCTTGTTGGATTAACTGTAAACAAAACTAACGCTGAAAAAACCTTCTCTTCTTCAACAAACATGGAAATCCATTAAGAGTCGTTTCATTTTCTTTTGGAAACTGCAGTGAATGGCTCGATCTCTTGCGTCATGCAGGTGGGGTAAAGATACATGCGACTGGCGCTTTTAGGTCATCTGAAAAGCAAGCTTGTTCTGCACTAACTTCAAACATTCAATTTTTTTTTCAGTCTTGGCTGGCAGAATGACAATTCGCTTGCTTGCTGTTCTGTGTGCTTGGGCACTTATAGCAGAATTTACTCTTTCGCTGCCCGAGGGAGAACACCCTGAAGAATTGGACCTCGACGGACCTGTGGGTAAGATGAAGATTTTTGTACCTAAAAATGACGCCGTCGGATCTCTTCAAACAGTTTGCAAATAAACCGAATGAACGAGGGAACTCTACACTTGTAAACCTGTATCAGTCACACACTGACTAGAGAGCAATTAATGTTTTGTAATAAC